AGCTTTGAGTTGGTTTATCGAGTACAATCCCAACAACATAAACTAAAATCCTCCTCTAAATACATTTAAAAAACCCAATCCCTTTGCAGGGTACTGTGTAAAGTATTTGTGTTCTGTCCAGAGCTGACCGCTAGTAAACCCCCACTCCCATGAACTTTCATTCAGGCAGTAGCTCAGCAATTTAACTAAATAGGCTTACTTGTGAGACTCATCTGCTTCTGCAGCTTAAGCTGCACTCCTGTGCTTGCTCACAAATATGCAAGCATTTAAGAAGCTTTGAGTTGTTGTCAATCTTCCTGGTCCTTGTGGTATGACTGCAAAACATTCAAAATAATATGTTGATGTCCTTAAAAGCTCGAAAGAACTCTAAATCAGGTTTTTTTTTTTTACTGTTTAGCTGTTTCTCTTTCCTGGAAAGGAAAGGAGCATTTTATTAAGGATTAAAAACTGACCGATAGAATCAACCTTTCTTTGATGAACTTTGCACTGTAAAAAAAACTTGTAAGAAAGAGAAATTTAGAATAATTCAGACACCTTTGTCAAATCTGGATTTGGATAACTGCCTCTTTGGCCCCATCAATAAAAGATAAGGAATTTGCCTCTCATCGAGCAGGAATGCGTGAGAATTCCATGAGAAAACACGTTCTTGTTGCTTCGCCTTGATAAGCCCATCCTGATCAGCGTCCGACTCCTGCAAAGCAGACCCCAGCTGACCTTATGGCTGTTTTCAAAGAGGGAAACAGTTCTCAGTTAGATGGCCCTTTCAAATATCAAGCTGAAGGTCCTCAATTCAGCTTACAGACCAAATTATAGAAGTCAATGTGGCAATCCCCAACAACTGCATTCAGTACGCAGAGACAGAAGTAAAAGGTGTTTTTATTTGGTGTCTTTTTTTTTCCTTATTTCCCTGTTTTTAATATTTTTAGTTTTTGTAATTTCATTTCTTGTGCATCAGTCTTTTAGTTGTCTATTGTGTTTATTCAGTAGATCTGATCAGTTCCTTTCAGGTTAATTAGCAATATATAATCTTTTTTTCATCTCACTTTTCCCCTCTGAATTCCCTTGTAAATACCATAATATGCATTCAAAGCTCCTGCCTGTGCCTGGATACAACTCTGCAGAAAAGAAAATCAGATTAGAATCAAATAAGAATAGGGATATGTACAGTAAGCAAGCATTTACAAGAGAAAAAAAAATTAATATAAAATTTTTTTCTAATACTGAAAAAAGTTCAAATAGGAGTAAAGTGGGCCATGCTTATGAAGGTGTATGGCAGGCAATGTTAACATATAGTCATACCAGACTCTTAGAATCATACACTGTATGATTTTTTTGCCATTTTCAGGCCGATTTTGCAGTTGTGCGAGAATTTTTTCGATCTGGCCGAGTTTCAGCCTGATCACGTGTTGTTTAGTATACATGAGGTAACGAGGAGTGATCAGCCTCTCACGACCACCTCAAGAATCAGATCAAGAATCTTAAGGTCGGGAGAAAATCAAACATGTTTGAAATTCAGTCAGCCGTCATAAGTTGGTCGTGGACAAATCCTGCTGTTGAAGCACTACAGTATGAGCCAATTTACCAGAACCTCACGCGCTGCGCATGTGCAAAAAAGGAAGTTCTTCCAGATTGACGAGTCCGACCAGCGGCATCTTTCGGCGCTAAGTCAGACGTGCAGATTTTGGTCATACAGTGTGAACAGGTAGATCACATCAGACCATTGGGCCGCACAGTGTGAGAACAAACATTGTGAGCTGTGAACCCTGTAGTTTCATTGTACACTTTGAGCTGTAGCTGAGTGAAACGATTTAAAATATCGCACAGTGTATGCCCGGCTTAACTAAATGTTTTGTCATGTCTACTGCAGTTCTTTATCGTGATATCCACATTTTCACTAAGCAGACTTAAAATATCAAAAATAACATTTAGGCAAAAACTATTTTATTAAACTAAAATTTTATCCTGAAAATTAATCACAGAAGTTGAGATACTCTAAAATTCTAAAACAATATCTTCTTATTGTAGAAAATTGTATTTTAAATCTACTTTTTTTTTTATAGAAAATTTTAGATATTCAGCAGAGATTGTTTTTTTTAAGCGTTATCCATGTTTCAGGAATGGTAATATCACTTTCTGTAGAGTTGATTAAATCATGTTTGGGCTCCAGATTGCCAAACAGATTTCAGATACTTAGATACTTAGATTCAACAAAAGAACATCGCTGATATGATATAGGTAAAACTGATTAATCCTCTCATTTGTTTTATATTTTTATAATTACTCTACTTTAGAGCTTTTCTCAAATAAATCCAATGTTTTTTACCATTTTTTTTACTCTGTAATACGGTGAATTTTGTTTTGATCCATGCATACATCAACACCTGGCAGGAAACAAACTTCCTGCATGGTTCGATCCTGTCCAGGAGGAACTGAATGCAGTAAAAAAAAAACTGTGGTGGCCTAAATAGGTTCTGGCTTGAGACACATTGAGAGTCACCTAAAACAAAAAATATGCAAACACTGTTGCAAAAATGAATACTGCCTTCGGTCATTTTGAACACTTTAAAAGTTTTCTTTAATATTCTGAGGTTCGCTGCTTGTTTATCATTTAAAATTTTCCTTAACAGAAAAACAAATAGTCTCATCATTGAGCATTTATTCACCAGTTGATAATGGGACGCTGTATGTGTGGGTTCTTTTTTGTTGTTTTGATTAGTTTTTCTCCATTTTATTCAGTTTTTATTTATTTATTTTAAGCTGATTTAACCCTTTCTTGGTTAACAAAGTAATTGACTCAAACTATTATTTGATTGTCCCATAAAGGCAGTGCAATCCATACAGCTAGAGATGCGTTATGCTGTGGTGCTGTATTTTCTTAAGTCCTACTGTATTATTTAGCAGTAGCCTCTTTCTGATTGTTCTTCCAAATAGGTTAAAACACAGAGCTAGGAATTAATGGCTAATAATAATCTATACCAACTGGATGTTTAAGTTATCACATGGTTGCTATAACTGAATGGGTCTGTGCTGTGCGCAGAAAAGATCCTTTTTATTGCTCAGCTGACAGTCGTCTCTGTGACATGGGAACGTTTCTGTGATCTGAATACTCAGAACAGATGTGAACAGCTGCTGTTAGGCTTGTCCACTCACAGTTTCATGAGCCATGTTTAAAAAGAAGCTAAAGAGCTGATAAAGAAGGTCCGTTCTGCTCTGAGATCCTCTAGAACCTCTGGGGATGATTTTACACTGAAGAATTCATCATTGAACGAAAAACATTAGGGACAACCCAAAACCTCCTCTTCGTGAGACAACATCAGGTTTTCCTTAGAGGCTTCTGCAGACCTTCTGTAAAACACACTGCTACAGGCATGGGCGGTTCTAGGGGGTTGACAGGAGCCAGTGCCCCTGCAGAACTGGACCCTGTACAGAAAACACACACAGCAAATATTTGAATATAATTAGGTCCACTTTTCCAGGAAGTAAATTTAAATTTTTCCTTATTTTAAGGAGGTAAGACAATTTGCAGATGGAATAAGATGATTTATGTTTGAATTGATTAAAAATAAATCCCCATTATCTCATTTCAAGTGCATAATATGTATTTATCTTATTTTAAGAGCAGACATACTCATTCTTTTAGCAAGTAATCACATGTATCTGTTCAGTTTAAGGGCAATTGCACTTATTTAAAAAAACAGTTTATGTTTTAAAAAAAAGTTTTAGATCTGATTTGGCAGGGTATCTCCAAATCAATTTCTTAAGAGACTGTCCCAGACAATTTACTTTAACAATTATTTACAACTTACCATCATCTTTAAGCTGAAGCTGTACTGAAATAGGACTACATTTTTTATCTGTTAGATCAGAAGAGCAACCTTGGCTTTGAGGCTTGCTTAATAAATCAAGCAATGCACTCTTGATCTTTTTTTCCCCTTGTGTGTGTTATTTTTTGTTAATTTAGGGGAGGATTTGCCATTAGGCAATACTAGGCAGTTGCCTAAGACCCCAAGTTCCTGGGGGCCCCATAAAACTCTAATTGCATGTATGCTTCATACAACTAGTCCTTATTTGTGCACATTAATTATGTTTTTGATTAAAATCCTTTCACTAAAATGCCATCAGAACGCTTCTTATATTAAGTGTGTCTCAGCCCATCTCTTCAATGTCCACCACATTGGATCAGTCCATTTGCTGCACATGTTCAGCAAAACATTTGAAAGCAAACGATACGAAGAGCAGTGTTGCCAACTTAGCACTTTTTTCTCTATATTTAGCGACTTTTCAGACCCCTCTAGCACTTTTATTTTTAAAAACCCACAAAATCTAGAAAATCTATCTACCACAAAAATCTATCTACCACAAAATCTATCTTCTACTTTAGACTTTGACGACAACATATAAATGCAGCGAACTCTGCTCTCCAGAGCAAGTAGATTGGTAATCCCGCCTCCTCCTCTCCTCCATCTTGTCTGCTGTCATGATTCATGCAGCTATTATTGCATCCGAATGAAATGTGGAGAACAGAGAAGCAGATCATGGCTTGTCTACAGTGAAAAGAAGAACGGTTATTTACTTTTTCCGTTGCCTTTTTAGAAATCAGCTAAGTGAGCTTAGTGCTTGGAAAAAATCTTTCATTCCTTTTGAGACACTTTTGAGTACAAAACATAGAGACTAAAACAACATGAAAAGGGACATGAAGAGAGGGACAAAACCAAGAACAAATAATGTATGTCTATTTTAATAAAATTTCTAGATCTGTATAATGGGTCTGCTTTATGTGTTTTCTTCACAATTCAGAGGGCCCCCTGCCTGTCTTTGCCTAGGGCCCCAAATTTCCTAAATCCGCCCCTGGATAAAACATGGGCCTCATCCTGGTCAATATGTCTATGCATACTATTAATATTATGAATTGAGTCTTCACATGTCGAGGTGCAACAAATGTATGCTAAAACGGTCTGCCTTATGGCCCCGCCCGCGCAGTGACGCCGGGCTGACAGAGGAAAGCTGCTCTAACTGGACGGCAGAGAGGAGAGCCAGCGATGTCTTCACTCAGGCAGGAGCACCGCTATGGGCTCTGCTGTGGAAAAACAACCAGAAGCAGCCCCAACATTTCTCTCTACCACGTCAAGCTGACGGATACAGCAATCAGAGCGCTGGAGGCTTACCAAAACATCAAGGTACTGTCTGTGTAAAAAAAAAAAATCTCCTTTACAGGGGGAGGTTTTATTTTGGAGCTTTTCTTTTTCTCACATCTTTAAAAGTTTGCATTTTTCCTGTAATACATTCACAGCTGCTGTATTTGTTACCCCCTTTGATGTCAGTGTAAATTTTAATTTTCTTTTAGTTGCATAAATGCTGGAGCCTGCTGTCAGTGCACAGCTGCTGCTGTTTTTACCCAGAACCATAAGTCACCACAGGAAAGTGGGACAGAACCCTGTGATTATCTTAGAAAACAAACTGTTGCTTTGAAAACTGGGCTATTTTCCTTCCTGCTGATGGTAATTGCAGAAGATCCCTGTATAGAAACATGGATTCTTATCTGATTTGAAAGGAAGGCTGTCTGAGAGGCTCTATTGATTGTGTAACATCAACTTTAAACAGATTGCTGCATAATTGTTTGCTGGATTAATTTGGGGAATTATACTTTGCATTAATTGCTCTTTCCTTACTTCCTCTTATCTCATACAGGGTGTTCTACAAAATCAGACCTCAATCGGTTTCAAAGGAAACCATGGGGTAAGTTTTATTTTTATTCTCATGTTTAGAGTTGTCTGGATACTGAAGTAATACTTTAATGCTTTGTAGTATGGAGCGTTTACTAAAGTTAAGCAGTCAAAAATTAGGAACAATATTTATGGTTATTTAGCTTGTTTCAAGAGAAAAATCAGGGGTTTATTACTCATTTATTCACTATGTCAATCATTCAGTTATAAAAATCTTATTTTGTTAAATAAATATTTAGATTGGGGTTAAATAGTTAGGTTGCAAATTTCATATATATATATATATTTATAAATATTTAGCTCCAAACAAAGTATTTAGTTTGCAGATTAAATATTTTGTCTTTTTTATATAAATATTTAGATTGCAAATTGAATATTTAGTTTTTTAAATAAATATCTATCTCCAAACTAAATATTTACTTTTTAAAATAAATATTTAGCTCCAAACTAAATATTTAGTTTGCAAATTAAATATTTAGTTTTTTAATGTATATCTTACTCCAAACTAAATATTTAGTTAGCTAATTACATTTTTTTAAAATAAATATTTAGTTTGCTAATTGAATATTTAGTTTTTTAAATAAATATCTAGCTCCAAACTAAATATTTAGCTTGCAAATTAAATATTTAGTTTTTTTTTAATTATAAATATTAAGCTCAAATACTAAATATTTAGTTTGCAAATTAGATATTTAATTTTTTTAATAAATATATGGCTCCAAACTAAATATTTAGTTGTTTTTTTTTAAATCAATATTTTGCTCCTAACTAATATTTAGTTTGGAGCTAAAATGTCCTAAATAACTATAAATATTGCTCCTAATTTTAACTGCTTAACTTTACAAACAGCGCCCCATATTGTCGGCTGCAGAGCCTGCAGCTCAACTCATTTGCCTAAATAGATGAGGCAGCATTACAAGCAGAGACATGATGTTCAAAGTGCTCTTATCTCCTCTTACCAATAAAAAGATCCAGTGGTTTCCTCTTTGGTCTTGATTCATCATGCTTGGCCGACGGCTCACTTTTCCCCTCCGCTGCCACCCTCTGAGCACCAGCAGGGGAGCTTATGGCTGCTCCTTGGCAGCAGATAGAAGCGTTGCAGGTTACTGGGTCAGGCTGGTGACTGTGCAGAGGATTTGTTTGGTCAGCAAGCAGGCCTGGGAAAAGGATGAAGGAGAGGAATAGGGAGAGAAGGGCAGACATTGTCGGAGCTGGGGTCTGTCTGAGAACTTGTTAATGCGTCACACAGAGGCAACAGATTAAGCTTAAATTCCTGTTCTTTTTTCTTAACTCAGTGAAATACTTTGAAAATCAACTTCAAGCCAATAGTGTTATTGGAATCCAGAACAAGACCTTATTACCTTTGTAACATTAAACAATATGGATATTTTAATGGAAAAAATGAATGTCAATGTAATAACAAGAAACACCAATTTAGAGAAAGGAACACATTTTTTTTGGTCCAACAGAACCTTAGAGGCTTTAATGCTGACACTGGCATTTACAGTCTTTAGTTTATAAATCTAAATATAACTGTTTTCTAGTCTTATTAACGTTGAACTTTACTTTTTAACTTTTAAATTAGCTTTGTACCCTTTTTTTTTTTTTTACTTTTTTGCTTTTTTAACTTAATTTACAGTAGGAAATGTATCATTCAAGGGCTCATCTAATTATGAGGGACGCGCAGGGACTCCATTTATAAGGGGTATTCAAGTGATCAAAAACAGTAACTAGCCCTATAAAATGTTGATATTATAGCTGTCAGGAGTTTGCGACGTCTCGTCACTTGACAAACTCGAGATTAAATATATTCAATCATGAGTTAATATGGTTGTTTTCAGACAGTGGATTTTTGAATGTTTTTTTTTTGACAGTCTGTTTTCAAATCGCCCCTTAAACTGACCTTTTTACCTTTGCTGTGAGATGTTGATCTCATCATTTGATGTCAAATTATTTTCTATTACAGACGTTTGTAGTTCCTATTTTAATTGTGTTGTACAGTATGTATTTTATGCTTTTGTTATTTTTGTTGAAATGAAGCCCTCTGTTATTTGTTATGGCTTGCTGTTGTTCTCTGCTCCGCACTTTGGCCTTTGGGAAACTTTAAAGTGCTTTATAAACAAAGTTGGATTGGACAGCATCAAGCTTAGTCAAATGAGTTATATAGTAGTTATATTTTTTTCCAAACATCCTCTATTGTATTTAGCTGTGGACTTTGACTGGGCCATCCTGTCACATGCAGGGATGGACAGGCCATTGGGAATCCAGGGCAGATGCCTGGATGTCATAATATTAAAAACATCTTTTATCATTAATTATTATTTTGTTTACCAAATGATAATCTAATCAAAGGATTTAAAATAAATGACATCCCTAAAAACATAATACATAAATTTGGTCGTTACACTGCCAGAATTTCCAAACAATGTCTTTTTAAACATTTCTTTTAAAATAACAAATCATAGGATAAGATAAGTCACTCAATATTTATCAGCCTTTTTAATAAACTTTTTTTTTTTTACACTTGAGTTTTTCCTTTCACTATGTATTTATTTTATAAATCCTCTGAACTTGCCTATATGTCATCTGGTATGCTGCATATCTCCCCACGACCACCAAAAACCGTAATTTTTTGGACCCAGTCCAGCCCTGGTTCATGAATTAAGCTTTAATCTAAAATAAGAATAGCCGATGATTGTGCAGTTTATTTAAACATCAAAATGTTTTTTATTGACCTGAAAGTATGATCTATTGCAACAACAAGACCATATTTGCTCACCCTTCAAATTAAAAGCATTTTTAGAATTCCTTTGCTCACCCTTCAAATTAAAAGCATTTTTACAATGCCTTTAGTTTTTCCAATTAAATATCAATCATAGCAGCAATACGTATTTATATAGTTAAAACAAAAATTAAATCACCCTCCTCATGGGTCATTAGCAGCCTCCAACTCTTCTTCTTGCAGGGTTTCTTTGTACTTAAATTTGTCTATCCTCCCATCATCTCTGACCCAATTCCCTTTCCTTACAGAATTAGTATTTAGTCACATGAACTTTTTTCAAACTAGGCTAAAATTTGTTTTACTTTTGTGCATTTTGCTGCTTCTCCTACACTCTAAACTGCAAACAGGGCCTTCTGCTATGACCAGTCACTTCCTCCTTACCACGCCTTCCTCACAGGTGTATTTTTTTAGATGATGTTTCTGTAAAAAGTGTACTCACTTTTGGATATTTTATTTTGAGAAAAAAAAACAGAAAGCAACTATGTTTTTTTTGCTTGCGCTTCATAAGTATGCACCTCATATTGTAATAGTTGATAATAATCCCCCCAAAAAGATTAGTTTGATGACAAAGTATGGAAAAGTATGAGTTCGAAACCCACTCCCACAGACTGCCACTCTGGGTCCCTGAGCAAAGACCCTTAAGCCAGGCTTCCGCTGTACGATTTTTTTCCCCTTTTCGTGCCAACTTTCCAGTCGTTCGAAAATTTTTTGATCGGGGTGACTTTCAGCCTGATCTATGCGTCTTGTGTACAGGGGGTAACGAGGGGCGATCAGCCTCTCAGGACCACCTCCCATGTTCCCCAATATATAATCTTTTTTCCTCTCACTTTTCCCCTCTGGATTCTCTTGTAAATACCATAATATGCATTCAACAACTCTGCAGAAAAGAAAATCAGAGTAGGGATACATATAGTAAGCAAGCATTTACAAGAGAAAAAGTTTCTAATACAAGTTAAAATAGGAGTAAAGTATGCCATGTTATTAAGGTGTATGGCAGGCAATGTTAACATATAGTCATACCAGACTCTTAAAGTACACTGTACGATTTTTTTTTTCCCTTTTGGGGCCGACTTTTCAGTCGTGCGAGAATTTTTCAATCAGGCCGACTTTCAGCCTGATCTATGCATCTTGTGTACAGGGGATAACCAGGGGCGATCAGCCTCTCACGACCACCTACTGATCAGGATCAGGAGAAAATCAAACGTTTAAACTTCAGGCGGTCATCGTGGGCTAATCGCTCAGTGCGCAAACAAGGATTCTTCTTCCTCTCAGACAAAAACACAGAAGCATGGCGGGGGTGCGGGTGAAATGGAGATCTTGCTGTAAAATTTACAGATCATAGAAGCCATGTTTGCTCAGTCATGTCTTTGTCCAAATACGTCGTCACCTTTTCTTTTTAGAGCTTTCAGCACAAAATTGCACAAATTGCCAAGGCAGCGTGTTTCACTCTAATGAACTCCATATTCCTCTTCTACTCATTTGGGCTTCCGCATGGAGGAGTCCCAGTAGCGCCATCTTACTGTGAAGCTGAGTCCGACGTGGTTTTTAGACGTACAGTGTGAGCAGGTAGATTGCACCAGAGCGTTGGGCTGTACAGTGCGACAGCAAGCATCGTGTGCTGTAGCTGCGTGCAACGTTCAAAAAATGCAAAGAGTTTATTTCGTTGTGATGGTGTAATGACAATAAAATGCTGGAGGGGGAAAAAAAAAGGTCAAGGGGCATTAAAATGTTTTGATGGCATTGTGGTTTAGTTTCAAGACATAATATCTCACCAACCTTACTTTGACTCCTGGGATATCGATGCTTGATCTGTGGTAAACAGCACGAACTGTGTGTGTTTTGACTTGAGCTGCGAGCAGCTGTGTCCTTGGGGAATACTTACTTTTCAGTCAATGCTAATTGCCCAGGCTGCTTCGAAAGAGTCACAGCCCCCTTCCTGTTGCAACAAAACAAACTGAGTTGTGAGTTTTCCGGGGGGGTGGGGGGTTTCAAGTCATCAGACTGGTTAAACCTGATTAGGTGCATGAGTGGAACATTTTTGGCTTCTGGATGGTTTGCATTAAAAAAAGAAAGAAAGAGTCTCTGTTTCTTGTCTTAGAGTGGAAGGTACACCCTTACAAGTAGTTTTTCTTGGTTTTTTTGGGGCCAAACTGAGATTATTGAAAAGGTGATTTAAGGTTTCCTGACAGGGTTGTTGTGTTATGCTCAGGGCTTTCAGGTTAGAGGTCAAA